AAACTCTTGGTGCACATTGGAAAAACTTCCGTATGAATTATTTCCAATGATATGATGAACTTAAAATGATAGTAGGGTTTTACATTATCATTGAGTTGATTTCTGAGCTATTTTTGTGTGCCCTGGTTCCATTCCGTTCCAAATTTATTTTAATTTTCTCTTTTGCAGAAGATTATCAGTCATCATAATATTCTATGAAAACTGTCCTAACTACAGAATATAAAGAATGATAACTGTTAGGATTTAAATACAACTTAACATCTTTGGCATGACGTACTGTAATTAAATATAACAAAGATCTTATGCAACCGGTTCGTGAAGAATCAAAATGATTACAACATAACCCTTGTTGGGTCATGTTATGATTGGAGAATCTGATAATATTGCTAGAAAAAAAACTACATATACATTTTTGTATGGACTTTTTTTTTTTTTTTTTGGGTACAAACATTTTACTTGGCCTCTTGGGATCCATCATATGTTAAGCTGTATATTGTTTGGTGGCTCAGAGAATCTCTATCCTTTATAAAGGAGACGAGATATGTAATCCTTACTGTATTCTGCATATCATCACTTTACGTTTACCTTATTATTATTATTCTATTCACAGACGCGAAGAATATTTCCCTCCTTAAAATCACTTTTTCCATTTTATTTTCTTTGGTATTCTTTTGGATTGGCTTGCATTGTGATGCTTAATAAGGACGTAACTGTTTTCTCTGATTCTGATATTTTCTTCCTCTGCTCTCCAGTCATTAGGGGGATGCAACCGTTGCCAGATGATCAATTTTTCACAGAAAAATGGACAAGTTCATAAGTCAAACGAACCCTTAGCAACCTTAGCATCATACAGGAGGGCAAAGGTTAGCCAATGATATCATAATTTATTGATTACTATCTTGCATCTTTATTTCAATTCTGTACTTAATGGTTAAACATGTTTGGTTTCCCATTGGAAACTATAGGAACTATTGTTTTGATAGAAGCAGGTAACTACTTTCTTTCACCAAAATTATGTTTTTGTTGGGCTTTAACGTGAAATTAAACACGCTAGAGTAGGAATGCTCAAACCTCTGATGTGCAATTTTTTGTTTTTACTGAACCTTCTTTACATTGTAATGAGCCTATTAACTTGGACAAACGGAGCATTGGGTCTGCTCTGTTTGTTCCCCTTCCCTTATATGGCTTCGTTCTAGTTCTGATTTTACACAATGAAACAGGGGAAGATCTTGTTTGGAATTTTGCTTAGATATGAACCTAGTGATGAAGGGGAACAACAATGTGATTCACGGCTTCATGTGGGACAGCATGTTCATCCAGATCCTGTTTAGTTGGTCGGCGGTTTTGATCAAAAGAAGGAAATATTTGAGTATGAAGCCTATACACACAATAATCCAATAACAACACCATAAGAGAAAAGTGACTGGAAGATCCCAGTGGCTGGGGTATTTTGTGTTGTATATCATTGACAACAAGGATATGAGTATATAAACACGGATCCTTTCCAATGTAGGAGAATATTTCAATTATTACTATATATAGAAATCAGAAGAAGCTGCTCATGATGTCGGTTTGGCTTCAAATAATACTTGTAATTTTCATTTTAAAAATATTTTTTGTTTACGTGTTTTAAATTTACTCAGTATTTATACTTGTGCGACAAATAAATTATTCATAATTGTAAGTCCTACAGTGTCCCCCCCCCCCCAAATCCACCAACCATGATGCCTTATTTATTTAAGTTAAATTATATCATTACAAATCATTGTGAAAAGGAGATGGGAAGAGTTGCTGCATCAAGCCGGAGGATATTCATAACTTTGCTAATTTTGTCCTTTGGTAAAAAGAAAAAAAGACACCTAACACTATTGACGGAAGGATTTGCCAGCGGTATTTTGATGAAAGGATTTGTCAGCAGTGTAGATGGAACCATATCTGCAACTCCTATCCTGCAAATCTCAAACTAAATCATATCAGTTCAAATGCAGAATATGAATTAAAAATTTAACGACATCAGAATTTGAATATGAACTAAAATTATCCTTCTGATAACAACTCTATACGGAGACCGATCTTGGTGATGGGATTTATTTAATTATAGAAAAGACAAGATACATTCATCTCATTTTCCACAACAGAATTTTACAGTAAAAAAAACAATAGGAGACTGTCCATCACCTATAAGTTAAGAGGCAAGCATATAAAATGATATAGAAAGACACATATCATCGTTATCACTTCTTCAATGAAAAGAAAAACGGCCCGTGAAAGCAACCCGCACATAGGTAAAAACAAGGCACTGATGAAGGACGAAATTATAAAGCTCCACCAAAACGCGATTAACCTACAAAGCGCATCCCGAATAGCCCCCAAAATCCAAATCTAAGTGAGTGCTTACCAATGCTTTTGTGCAATGAATTCCCCCTGCAGGTGATTCTATGGAAAAGTGCCGCAAAGAATATGATGTTGGATTTTCCGACTAACAGTATTTTGTATGGGACTAGAAGGAAAATATTCTTATTTGCCGAGTTGTCCGTTTAAGCCTGATATTATAGCCCATGTAGCTTTTTCCCATCGTCTTCCTGCTCGCCATGTTGTGACTGTCGTTCCGTTTTCTCACCCACCTTGTTGACAGGTGGGAAAAAAAAAAAAAGAATTCAAGTAAATACTGTTGGAATATTTTTAAAATGAAGAAATGTATTTTTTTGAAAAGTCATATCCTTATGTAAATTTATTCAATTAATAAATTTATATGAGAGGTTATGTTTTCATATAAATTAATAAATTTATTTGAAGGGTTGTGATCTCATATAAATTAATATATTTATAATGAAGGGTTGTGTTTTCATATAAATTATTCTCTCCGGTTCTAAATATAAGACCCATTTTGTAGTGTAAATTACACTATAAAATGAGTATTATATTTAGAACCGGATGGAGTAATATATTTATATGAAGGGTTATGTAGGAAATTAAAACACTAAAAGACCTTAAATATTAAATATATTGTATTTATTTAAATTATGTTAGTTCATGAACCAACATATAGTTGTGACTTTTCATTTAATAAAGTATTATTTCAAAATGTATCTCTTCAAGGTATCATTCAATGGTCTATATAAATCCCTTACCATCACTTCATTTGGGACAACACAACACAAACACAAAGGTCAAACTTATTGTCTTTTTTTTTAGTACACATAGAGATAGAGTCAAATTATCACTTCGTAAAAGTTATTGTTGTCTTTGCTTGAATCTTGAAAGTACAATCCATATTCAAAGGTCTTTGTTGTATTCTGAAGGAAATTGGCTAGACATCCCAACTTGCACCCTATAAAATAGCTTTAGGTAGGGGGCGGATTAAATTTAAAAGAAAATACTGCCCATGCCTTGAAAATATCATGCACCACTTTCTTCTTTATTTCTTCTTCTTGTAGTCTTCAGAAAACCATTCCCTCCCAACAAAAACAAGATCCTGAAATTAGAAATGGAAAAATTGGTAGAATACCATTACCAGGATTTAAGCAAGAAAATTTTTTTGAATGAAGATCATGGTTAGAAGATGAAGCAAGTATTATTGACAAAGTAGATAGGGTACAGAGGACTCAGGAGCTGCGACTTGCGAGCGACTACCTGGAGCAAGGCAACCGAGGGAGCAAGACCATTACGCAAATTAAATTATTACAAGTTGAATCACCAAAATAGCCTTTAGAGTAATTATGAAAATTAAACCAGAATAAATAAATAAAATGATAAAAATTACATATCATCTGCCAAATAATTTAAGCAATTTGATGTGGCATGTATTCGGTCATATTTAACGGTCATGTTATGGTAGAGCGTTAAATGTCAAAATATGATAGTTAAAGATATGATTTTTAAATTTTTAAAGATGAGAGGATTATGTGTAGGGGAGTAAAAATTAAGAGGGTTGTGAATATTTTGGCCATAAAATTATAAAAAGTTAAGATACATCTAACATCTCGAAATAGGATTGTTTAATGGACGGGATGAGATCGGGATCAGAACAGGCCTGTCCTGTGTCCCGTCTTGTCCCAGAACGTCCCTTTTTTTCTTTTAAAAAAATATTTTTGTTCTATGATTAGACCTATTGTAACGGATTTTGGTTGTTTTTCTCATTCTATTTTTAGTTCTTTAGCCCTTTTGAAAGCCTTTTTTTTTTTGGGCTTAGTTCTCTTAAAGAAAAGTTCAAATAAATAATAATCATTAAGATAATAACTTCAAAATTTATTTTCACAATTCCAAATATCATAAGCAACCATAAAAACTCTAAATAAATAATAACTATTCAAGTACATATATTTTGAAAGCTATAAATATAAACATTTTGTATTGCACATGCCTTAAATATTTTGTATTTTTAACATTTAATAATTATAATATGATAAAAAATAAAAAATATTACTTTCCGGATAGGACCGGGACGGGATCCCATCTTGTGTCCCATTCTATCCCGGTCCTATTTTTTGTCCCTTCCCGGAAAAACTTTGGGACGGGTCCATTTAGTCCCACTATGGTTGGGACTGGGACAGACTTATTTGAATACCCCTACCCCGAAATATTTTTTGATGTATTCAGCAGCTTGAAATATTTTTTATTTGCATCCAATACTCTAAAATATTTTTTTTATCTTGTTGTTGGATACACAAAAAAATATTTTTTGATACTAGAGACAACTCAAAAAACTATTTTGAGGTGTTGATGTAAAAAAAAAATTTCACAATACTAAACGGTACTTAAAAAATATTACAAAATGTTAGATATATCATAGAATATTTCGGGGTGGTGTCAGTTGCCTTAATCAAATCATATAAACCACGCAGTCAATAAATAAAGAGACAATTATAATGAGGTTGGCCGAAAAGGAAATTTAGAGAAAATTTTGAATAGGTTTCGCTTTTCCTGTCGTCCCTCGTTCTACCTTCCATCGCTCTCTTTCGTTCTTTAGTCTGTCGCTGGTGTGCCAGTACTAGTGCGCCGTCCTCTTCGGGGAAGCTAGGTGAGAGATGTCTAGAGGTTGAGCAGGAAGATTCTGGTACTGGGTAAGATTAGCATTAGCATGCTCTTAGCCTGGCTTCGATCAGGACCCAGCAAGCTACAAGATTTTCACAAAGCCCGCCATCTCTTATTCTCTTCTACTACAGCTACTACAACATCCTCGCTTCCACCTCCCATAACAGTTGATATTTTGAAAGAATGCAAGACCTTGATCCAAGCCAAGCTCTTGCATCAACAAGTCTTAGTTCAGGGTCTCCTCCACTTTCTCAGCAACCTTATTGGCACCTACATAGCTTGCAATTCCACTTTCCATGCTGTTTTGCTTCTCGAGCGGCTCGAACCCTGCTCATTCCATGTTTTCTGGTGGAATCAATTGATAAGGGCTGCAATTCATTGTGGATTTCCTGATCATGTTTTGGGAATTTACCGTCGGATGAGGAGACTGGGTTGGATGCCTGACCATTATACCTATCCATTTGTTTTCAAAGCTTGTGGTGAGCTCATGTCATTCCATCGTGGTGCTTCGCTTCATGCCAGCGTGTATCGAGCAGGGTTCGAGTCGAATGTTTTTGTTTGTAATGCAGTGGTTGCAATGTATGGGCGTTGTGGTGAGCAACATCATGCACGTAAGATGTTCGATGAATTGTGTTACAGAGGTATTCAGGACTTGGTTTCTTGGAATTCTATTGTTTCTGCTTACGCCCAGGGTCAAGATTTCAATAATGCACTTAAATTGTTTGACAAAATGTCTAATGATCATTGGATATTCCCCGATGCTGTGAGCCTCGTTAATATACTTCCTGCATGTGCTTCAATGGGTGCATCATCGGAAGGTAAACAAATTCACGGGTTTGCTATTAGAAGTGGATTGGTTGATGATGTCTTTGTGGGTAATGCTATGGTTGACATGTATGCCAAGTGTGGTAAGATGGACGAAGCAAGCAAGGTTTTTGAGAGGATGAAGGCCAAGGATGTCGTTTCTTGGAATGCCATGGTTACAGGGTATTCTCAGATTGGTAAATTTGAAGATGCTCTATCTTTGTTTGAGAGGATGCGAGCAGAAAATATTAATTTAGATGTTGTGACTTGGACTGCTGTTATAGCAGGATATGCTCAAAGAGGACTTGGTCATGATGCCCTGAATGTATTTCGGCAGATGTGCAGTTGTGGGTCACAGCCAAATGTGGTCACTCTCGTGTCTTTACTTTCAGGTTGTGCATCTATTGGAGCTTTGCTTCATGGGAAAGAAACCCATTGTTTTGCAATCAAGTCTATCCTCAATGTAGAAGGACATGATCCAGGGGATGATCTGATGGTAATTAATAGTCTGATTGACACGTATTCTAAATGCAAAATAGACAAAACTGCTCGTATAATGTTTGATTCTATATCTCCAGAAGATAGAGATGTGGTTACTTGGACAGTGATGATCGGAGGGTATGCCCAACATGGTGATGCCAACCAGGCACTACAACTTTTTTCTGAAATGTTTAAAGTGGATAAATCTATAAAGCCTAATGACTTTACTTTATCTTGTGCTCTAATGGCTTGTGCTCGTTTGGCAGCATTAAGGTTTGGCAGGCAAATCCATGCTTATGTGTTGAGGAATCATTATGACTCTGTTGTTCTTTTTGTGGCCAACTGTCTCATAGACATGTATTCTAAATCTGGAGATGTAGATGCTGCTCGCATTGTTTTTGACAGCATGGAGGAGAAGAATTCTGTATCATGGACATCTTTAATGACAGGATATGGTATGCATGGACGAGGTGAAGATGCTCTCTTAGTTTTCGATGAGATGAGAAAAAAAGGTCAAGTGGTTGACGGCGTAACAATTCTTGTGGTGCTTTATGCTTGTAGTCATTCGGGAATGGTGGATCATGGAATCAATTATTTTTATAGAATGACCAATGATTTTGGGGTTGTTCCTGGAGAGGAGCATTATGCTTGCATGGTTGATCTCTTGGGTCGTGCTGGTCGGTTGGGCGAGGCTATGAAACTTATTCAGAGTATGCCCATAGAACCAACCCATGTAGTGTGGGTGGCCTTGCTTGGTGCATGTCGGATACATTCAAATGTGGAACTTGGAGAATTTGCCGCAGATCAATTGGTGAAATTGGAGTCAGAGAATGATGGGTCATATACATTACTTTCTAACATATACGCTAATGCTAGACGTTGGAAAGATGTGGCTAGGATTAGAAGTTTAATGAAACATACAGGGATGAAGAAAAGACCTGGTTGCAGTTGGGTCCAAGGAAAGAAGGGCACAGCAACCTTCTTTGTTGGGGACAGGTCTCATTACCAATCTCAGCAGATATATGAAACTCTCTATGACTTGATTCAACGAATCAAAGTACTTGGATATGTACCTCAAACAAGCTTTGCTCTTCATGATGTGGATGACGAAGAAAAAGGTGACCTTCTTTTTGAACATAGCGAAAAATTGGCACTTGCTTATGGCATCTTAACATCACCTCCTGGGGCAACTATTCGAATAAACAAGAACTTACGCATCTGTGGTGATTGCCATAGTGCTCTAACTTACATATCTAGAATTATTGAACATGAAATCATTCTAAGAGACTCAAGCCGTTTTCATCATTTCAAGAAGGGAAACTGCTCATGTAAGGGCTACTGGTGACAATAAGTAAAGCAAAATATTTTCTTGCAAAATACTGCAACAAAAGAGGGGAGAGGAATAAATGGCTAGGTGGGTACAGAGCATGAGCAAGGAAGCAAAAGAAGAAATGATGCGAATTCCATATTGGCTTTCCATAAATCAGGTTCTCTCTCACCAACTTGTCGAATACCACCTCGCTTACGAGCCTCTTTTATTGCCCACAAGATCCTCTCTCTCTTTCTCACACACACACACACACACACACACACACACACACACACACACACAGAGTGACTGTTCTAACATTAACATCTGGCAAAGTTAGTTATTCTTGGATAATATCTTTTCTTTATCTTTATCTTCTGCCAGGTGCATTTTACCCTCCTTAAACTTATTTTTAACCTGTGTTTTCCAGCTCGTTTGGACATAAGTGAGGCCCACTCCCCATTGGGCTCACTGTGGTTAACATTTTGAAACCAAATCGGTAGTTAACCAAGTAATGCTAGAAACCATTTACAGAAGTTGACAATTAGTATTTTCATCCTTGTTTTTTTGGGCCTTTAATGAGTATTTAATTTTTTTATAGATTGCTTTCAGCTTGCGAGCTCTTGCTGTACAAGACTTTTGTGATCCCCTGATTTTTATTTGAAAGGTCATCGGAATTGTATTTGTCAAGTAACAAAATGTAGTGCAATTTAGTAGACATTGCCTTGTTTGGTTGCTAGAATCATGACCCAATGAAAGTGAGGAAACTTGCTCATCTCCCAAATAATTTTCATATATCTGAAAGTTAAATTGTAATTTTTTTACTATCGGATAATTAAATTGTAGTCTAGAAACTTGCTCATCGCCCAAATAGGAACCTTTAGTTTTGAGCCTTGGCACACAGCTAAAGCATCAATGGTAAAATCAACTTAAAATAAAATGACTCATTACGTAGCAGCTTGGCATATGCCTTAATCCCATTGAAGTAATTAAATTTATTTGGTTCTTTTTTGGGTATTTTCATATTTCGTTTTTATTTAAATGAAACAATTTATTAATCAGAAATATGTTTTAACAATAAACTCATATCACTATAAATTAATTAATAATTCAAGAAAGCTAATTTGGTCCCAGAAAATTTAGGAAAGTCATGTTACTTTTGAAGTTGGAAAAAATAATTTCTTTTAATGCAAAATCAAGAGCATTACGTCGTGATATTGATAAGATTTTTTAACGTTTTAATATTATAGCATAAGAATTAATAATTTTAAGATAAAACTACAATTTCTTAACAATATAATAATATTTGTGTTGTTTAAATTTGATCTGTCATTATAATTTAGAGTAAAATATATTAACTAGCCTTTTGTTCTACTTGAATTATATAAACCTCCTTCCAATTTTGAAAATGTATATAAACCTCCCTTAAAATTAAAATGTATGTTGCACAAGTCTCTCTTATACTTTTGAGACTCCATTTCCGTCTATTGAAATGTTAGTTGACTATTAAGTTTGACTTTTAAACTTTTATTTTGACCAAAATATTCCTTTTCAACATTAGTGTTATTTAAACATTTATATCTATATAAAAAAATATTTTTTGATACAACGAAAAATAACTATAATACGTGTATTTTCAAAATTTTTAATGTCATAAAATTTATTAATTTTAATTATTTTATAGAATTATATAATTTTAATTCTTCATGGAACCTTGAAACTCAAGGTTTCTTTTAAATGGCTAGAACATATTTTAAATGCTTATTTTTTTCATCATATAATATAAATTATGTGAGTTTGAAAAATCATATAAATCATTTAAATCTACAATCTAACTTTTTTTTTAAAAAAATTGTTGCAAACATTTATAACTTATTTAATTTGATCAATTATATATATATATTCATTTTAAGAATTCATCACATTTCTATAATTCTATTCAATTTTTTTTATGTTTACAAGTTACATAATTTTCTGTCTCAATATGATAAAAACATTAAACAAAAAATAATTTGTAAAAATAAACAATAAAATTAAAGTAAAGGAAAAAATCTTAAATTGTTCAAAATTGTTCCAGCCAAAATTTAGGGATTTAGTATTATGAGGGGTAAGTTAATAAACAATAAGTATCTCAAGATAAATTTAATTAAAAAATATTTTTTAAAAATATTTTTAACGGAGTTAACGGTTTGGACTTAAGTGTATGTTTTCAAAATAGGAAAAAAATTCGTATAATAAAGACAAAATGTAAGAGAGGTTTGAATATTTTACTCTATAATTTACTGTTCATTAGATTTTGAATGCTGGGAAGATAAAAGCGAAATAAGACAAATTTCTCATGATAAACAATAAAAAAGATGAGTGAAAAAAATGCGTCATTTAATATTTTTAATCAATATTTAATTTCTATATGCACAAAAATATTAAGAATAATTTAAATATACCATTTAAAGAAACAACAATGAAAATTTTATTAAAACCCCTCATTATCTTAGCGGATGTTTGGAAGTCCCAAAAAACACTTTGAAAAAAAAAACTTTCATGCAAATCAAGATAAAATTTCTCTTTCATATTTACTTCATATATGGTAAAATTATTTTTAAAATTTTTCATCCAAATACCCTTTAATCGAATCTCTTACTAGTCAAAAAAAGTAATTAACACAAGTTTTTTACTTCTTAAAAAGGGAGTACAATACTTCATCAAAACTTAATTTTAATATTTTTAAGATTTTAGTCCATGAAACAATAATGTTTCATTGATTTGTACAGCACACTTTATGAAAATTAATCATATCTGATTAAAAAAAAAAAGAAGACAAAACTAGATACCCACCGGTCCTAGATAACCATATCCTTTTCGGATTAGTTAACATGTTTGGTATAACTTTGTCTTTAACTTCTTATAAAAGAGTTTATTTTAGGTACTATTGAATTTTAATTTTAATAGTTCTGATTGCTCAATATAAGATGAATTTTTATGTTATCATCGGATGTAACTTTAGTAAACAACAAGTTAAATTCTTAAATTTAACTATTGAGTGAGTATAATTTTTCAAAAGTACAAATATAAGGATAATTAATCACATCTACAAAATATAATATTTTTAGCGTATTATCTCATTTATACTCTAATCAATCCAAATATTCTATAAACTTCAGATGAAATAATTATTGTTTTGTCCTTCAAACAAACAGATGCCGTTGTTAATTATTTGAATAAAGATAGTTGCGTACCAAAACTCAGAGCATTACTGATGGCTTCAATATATATTTAGATTGATTTTTTTTGTGTGCCATTCTATCTATATTTATCCTTTCCTAATATATCATATCTTATTTATTGTCATATATAATATGATTCATCAAATCTAAATGTGTCTACACACCCTCCCAACCTCTTCTTGAGTGCTAAAAGTTTCTCAAAGAACAGAAAATTAAGGTTTCTAAGGCCTAGGTAAGGCATATAGTTTTGGATTCTATTTTGAGATTTTTCGTATATAATATTTATCCTTTTTTTCATAACTAAACAATTCATATATGCAAAACGTAACATGAAAAATTCGAGAGGGTTGGATCACCTTGTTTTCTTACTGTTTTATCCGTCAAACTTGCTTAATTTCCATAGTGTCGTTTATGTTTACCAATTTTATGGTGTGGTCCTTTTGACACCTCCCTTCCTTTAATCATTAGGTGCGATGTGTGTGTGTGTGTACTTGCGTACTACTAAGAAATAAATAAGTATGAAGTTGCTGTAAGCATGTATATACAGGTTCTCTTAATTGGGTAATTAAATAAGTACTAGGGCCTGTTTGTTTACCTATTCTGAAAACAGTTTTTTGTTTTTAAAAACAAAAAAATAAAAAATCCTGTTTGACAATTTATAGAAATTTGTTTTAAAAAACTAAAAATAGGAAACAACTTTTAGATGTTCTTTAAATTTTTGTTTTGGGTTTTCTATTTCCCAACAGAAAACTTTTCTCCGCCCGACTCTTCGTCTTTGCTCCCTCGTTGCTCCCTCGACGCCATTGGAGGCCAAGAGTGCAGGAGTGCTCACTAACTCCTCACCCTTGTGCTTGCCTTCTCCTCACCCTCAAGTCTCGGTGCTCAGTGCTCGTCGTATTCTCCGCTCGGTGGTTGTTGTCTCCAATCTCTTTCATCTTCCCTCCTCAGTCCTAAATCGGTGAATCATTAGCCTCTACTTTCTCATTGTCTGATTATTTTAGTGGGTCTTTGTCTAAAACTTGATCTACATCATTTAATGGATTTTTGTGTAGCATTTGAGGTCTAAATATGAATGCCTCTAGAGCAAGATTGTACTTACTAAAAAGGATTACGATGATCCCACCACTGAATTGAAGTTTCAGGGCAGCAAAACAAAAACAAATAAAATAAGATAAAAAAAACAGAGTCAGGAATATGCAGGTCAACCGCCGGGGTCTATCCATAGAATAGATGAGCTGACCAATCATAGATTGATTTTTTACAGTCCAAAGGCCTATCGTCGATATTGTTGTTATTATTAATAGTGGGGAAGGAATGAGTGGTATTTGGTGGGAGTTATTTGTAGTGAAGCTAGGAATGTGGGGAAAGAATACGCAGGGGAGGGCTTAGTTTTGGGGGATGATCAGTTAAGTATGTGTACAAGCGAGTGTGGGTTGAGAGGGCCAAGTCAATAGCGAAGGGAAAGGTCAAGTTACGTATATTAAAAGTATTTGAATGTTTGCTTATACACATTTTGACCTCCACTCGATATGAAGGAATTAAGGATTGAAGCTTCATTCACGAAAGAGGATGGAATCCCACAACTAGAAAGAAGGATCTTTGACTTTGGTTCGGCTTCGTTTCCCTCCAGCTCTTGCGTATTTGCATTGCTTTGATCACCAAAACTAGAAAGAGATTGGATTCCCCTCTTTATCCATAACTTCAAGTTAGTGGGCAATGCCATATTGTGATTCGCTAAGTCGATTCATCTTTCTGGCATTAGTCTTCGAGTACGATCTTTTTTCCTGGGGTTTACTTTTGCTTTCTTGCTTTGGGTTGTCAAATAGAGAGCGAACAGTATTTCATTGTTGTGTGGCTGGATACACTGATGGCTTGGCAGCAATAAGAAGTAACTGTTGAGATGAAATTCAAAGGTTGCATGTTGAACTATTTTTATAGTTGAGAGCAAATTGAATATATTGAACGGATACTATTGAGATTTTTCGTCAATTGTTATGTATAGTTTATTCCCTCCCTCAAGCAATACAATCAAAACGGGTCCTACATGGCAGACGGACCACATTCTTGGTATGAGTATAGGCACTGTCTACCCCACAGCGAAAGGGTCCTAAATGCTGACAAAGTTATTGCATAGGGGTTCTGTAATTCTCAAGCTTTATGGCAAGCATGTGATCATAAGTTAAAAAAGAAATGAATATATGACTATAAAGGAAAACGAAGTATTGAATTCTCTGATAGAAAAAAAAAGAAAGAACCTAGATCTATGCAAATGGG